GGCACTCAGGCGGGATGAGGCAGGGGAAGGGCTGCCCCCAGGCCTGTTGAGGAGAAACTGAGGCCGGCCCTGGTGGAGACCTAGCCCAGCAGGGTAAGGGGAGGGGAGAACTGGGTCTGAAGGAATGAGGGCCCCCTCCCTCTGGGCTTTCCTCCTGAGGGCCTTAGTCCCTCCTGCTGGCTGGACTGCACGACCCCCAATCCTTGCTCCCCCAACCCGGAGGAGGGGGCCAGACCAGGGAGGGCAGTGGACAGGGAGCCTGGGGGAGTTGGGGAGCGCAGGGCAGGGTCCATGGTGTGCAGAGGGGGTGCTGGCCACCTGGGCGGTCAGTTCCTGGCAGCAATGACCACAGAGAGTGCCACACCCCCCAAGGCAACAGCAGTCGCCCCAAACAGCCACTTCCATGGGATGGACTGTGGATAAAGAAGAGGAGAGAGAAGGGTGGAGGGAGGTCGAGACTGGCCTCTGGGACCTCAGCTGCCAGCACAGCCCAAGCAGACCTCCCCACAAATCACTGCCTGACCATGCATTTCCCACTTCCTGGCAAACTCCTACTCATGCAGCAAAACCCAAATCAATTGGCCCCACCTCCAGGACACTGCTCCTGGTGCCCTGGAAGAGCCTCCATTCCCCACCCTGAGCCCTCCAGCTTGAGTTCCACCTTCTATTCCACTCATGATCACACAGGACTGGGGGCTCTCAGTGTCCCCTGCAGCGCCCAGGATGGCCCAGTCTCCGAGGACATCCACATGTGCAGAATAAAATTCCTCTGCTAGGCGTGCCGTGCCCTGCACACAGCCCCTGCCCATCCTCCTGTGCCCCAGCTTACCCAGGCACCCTTGCCAGGGCACTTGGCAGGCAGCCGGCTGGGGTTGCCCAGCATTTTCCGGTACAAGGCGGTCTCCGTGCTCCGCTGCGCTGCATGCTTCTTCACCAGCTTCGAGAGCTCTGCGTGGATCGTCTGCAGGAGGCAGGGGAAGCTGAGAACGTGCGGCGGCCAACCTGTCATCACTGGCGCTCTCCCCTTCTGGGACCCTAGGTTGTTTGGGTGCTGGGACAACTAGACATGGGGGGTCCCATCTGCCCCTTTCTGGGCTTAGCAAAGTCGGGGATGCTGACCCTATCCCCCTAGGGAGCCAGTAGATGGGACAGAGCACAAAGTAGCCAGGAGACAAAAGGTTCTGGAAGGAAGGCCGCGGACACCGGCATGGGCCAGGCTGGCAGTGTGGCTGTCATAAGGGTCTTCACAAGCTGACCAGGGCCCTTCAGGTATCTACGCCCCGCCACTGCTCAGATGGGAACACAACAGAGAGTCACAGCAAGAAAGACCTGGGGCAGACCATAAGAGGGACTTCCCAGCTGAGCAAGTCTCCAGGGCGTCCCTGTCCTACTCACCTTGTTGGAAGGTTCCAGCTTCAGGGCCGCCCTCAGGATGGGGATGGCCTCACTGTACTCCCCCTGCTGGGCCAGCACCTGTAGGGAGAGGGTGGCATCACTCTGGACCCATAACTGGGCCCCTCTGTCCTTCAAGAAATCCAGCCCAAGAGGTTGCACTGATCCAAGATGATGCCACTACACTTCAGCCTGGGCAAAAGAGCGAGACTGTATCTCACAAACAAAGCAGCCTGGGCCAGGTGCGGTGGCTCACGCCTGTAATCCCAGAACTTTGGGGGGCCGAGGCAGGTGGATCACAAGGTCAGGAGTTCAAGACCAGCCTGGCCAACGTGGTGAAACCCTGTCTCTACTAAAATATACAAAAAATTAAGCAGGCGTGGTGCTGGTATTACAGGTGTGAGCCACTGCACCCAGCCTATTTACTTCTTTCATTTTAGAGACAGGGTCTCGCCACATTCCCCAGAATGGTTTTGAACTTCTAGGCTCAAGCGATCCACCTGCCTCAGTCTCCCAAAGTGCTGGGATTATAGGTGTGAGCTACCTTGCCCAGCCCTTAATTGTTTTATTTTTAAAATTTCTGTAGCAATGGAATGCACTATGCTGCCAGGCTGGTCTTGAATTCCTGGGCTTGAATGATCCTCCTGCCTTGGCCTCCCAAAGTGCTGAGATTGAGCCACCACACCTGGCCCTGATGTTTCCAAAGCTTTGGCCACAGTGAATGGTTCAGGGCCGGCAGGTGACCCGAGCGAGTCAATGAGATCCAGCCTGCACTATGCTGGTGCTGACAGGAGATGAGTTGCCGAAGGGGGACGATGGAGCTGGGTGCGGTGACTCATGCTTATAATCCCAGCACTTTGGGCTCGGAGGCCGAGGCGGGCAGATCACTTGAAGTCAGGAGTTCAAGACCAGCCTGGCTAACGTGGTGAAACCTCATCTCTACTAAGAATACAAAAATAAGGCTGGGCGCGGTGGCTCACGCCTGTAATCCCAGCATTTTGGGAGGCCGAGGCGGGTGCATCACGAGGTCAAGAGATCGAGACCATCCTGGTCAACATGGTGAAACCGTGTCTCTACTAAAACTACAAAAAAATTAGCTGGGCATGGTGGCGTGTGCCTGTAGTCCCAGCTACTCAGGAGGCTGAGGCAGGAGAATTGCCTGAACCCAGGAGGCGGAGGTTGCGGTGAGCCGAGATCGCGCCATTGC